CCGCAACCTGACCTTCGACCTGCTCACCAGTCCTCCTGGTTGGGAGGTTCTGATCACCTCATTCCAAGCCTCAGGCTTGGGAGCCACGCAGAGGTGGCTCCTCACAGTGTCCCTAAAATGTTTCCCCTCCCGAGTGAGCGGAAGCGGATGGGAGGTCCCAGCATGATGCCGGGTCTTGGTGGAGGCTCCCTGCACCTTCAGCAGGTTTGTCTCCTCCTCCCACCCTGAGGGGCATGAAAATGCAGGGATTCTGGGCTCCACACACACTCAGAGGGGCTCACAGCTCACACACACTCAGAGGGGTTCACAGCTCCACACACACTCAGAGGGGCTCGCAGCTCACACACAGAGGGGCTCACAGCTCACACACACACTCAGAGGGGCTCGCAGCTCACACTCAGAGGGGCTCGCAGCTCACACACACTCAGAGGGGTTCACAGCTCCACACACACTCAGAGGGGTTCGCAGCTCCGGGTTCCTGCTTCCTTCTCTCACACCCTGACTGCCCGCTCCGCCACCCCCCTCCCCTGTAAATGGAGCTGGAGAGGGTCCAGCTCTGGTGCACCCAGGTCTCCAGGGCTGTGTGAAGGAGAAAGCTGCTCGGTTGGCCAGCTGGCCAGCAATTCCACTTAACTGTTTAAGCAGCAGCTCTACCCTGATACAAAGAAAGCTAAAAAAATAATAATAAATAAGTCACCTTCCCACTCCCCTCTGATTCTCCGAGGTGCAGTCCGCTTTCTCCTTGAGGTCTGAACTCCTGTGGGTCAGCAGGGCCAGGTCGTGGGGTGGCGGCCGAGGTGCCTGGGAACCGGCTGCAGGGCCCCCACTCTGAGCCGCAGTCCGACCGCCCACCTGCCTCCGTCCCGAAGCAAACATCCGCCCAGAGGCCACTGCTGCAGCTGAGGACCAGGCCACCTCCGTGCAGTCCTTGAGGGGAGACATCTGGGGGTGTCCTCCTGGCCTGAGGAGGCGGCAGGAGCAGCAGGGCCGGAACCCCCTGGCCTTCCTCCCCAGAGGACCCCTTGATGGTCCCGTGTAGCCATAGTTGCCTCGTGAAACCCACCTTTACTTAGATACACACGGACATTGGTGTTCCCAAGGTCCCTCCTGACTTGGACAAGTCGATCGTTCCACCTTCATCCTCATTGAAATGGCCTCCCTCCAGGAGGAATACGATTTGGGGGCAAATCTCAGCTCATATCGAAGACTTCAAATGCACACTCCTACATGTGGGACAACGTCTCCTGCAGGCAGGGCAGACACCGGAGACGATGCTTCATCGTGAAGACGGGAGACCTCCCTGCTCTGT